GTGTAATGGTCTCTGTCAGATATTTTAATTTACCTTCATAATCAAACTTAGATTATTTATTTATTTAGCTTTCTTAACAGAAATATTTATGCTTCTGCTGCTGAGCCATGAGGACCTTTCAAAGAAAAAAACTTAAATCTTAAATAAAAGTTCCCACGCACAGCTCGCTTCATCTGCTTCCTCCTCAGACGACCCTGACCCACAAACCCCTCCCTGACCCACAGACCCCTCCCCGACAAGAACAGCAGGACAGCAAAAGTCACGCTTGGATACACGCGCAGGGCGCATCCACCTCGCCAGTGTGGATGTTATAAAACTCCATGTTTAAAGTCCGTATTTGTCACGCGCGCACGGGGGGGTGGGGTGCGTGCATATGTGTGTCTGCCACGGATTACAGAGCAGGCGGGAGAAGAGCGGTGAACTTATTTCTAATTTTATCTGACTTATTTAATTTTATTTTTATTGTTTTTATCGTCCTGCAGGCTCTGGGAGAAAATGAAACTGAAGCTGAGTTTTTTTTTATAAAAATCGTTAGATTACTCTAAAGCAAAATGAGGGAAATTTTGTGTCAATTACAGACATTCTGTTCACGTGAGCAGCTGTCAGCACCTGTCATCCTCCAAACACGAAGGAGCGTGTCTGCACCAATCACTTTTGTTGGCATTGATCAGCTGACTGATTTAAATACATCTTAACATTCATGAAGTACTTTACATTGACTGTTTATGGTTGATTGTGGGCGTGTAGAGGGTAGAACCTGAGGCGGGACCTTGTGCGCAAACTCTGAGGTGCGGCTGTGATTTATAAATGAAAGATGCGCAGAAACGTGCGTACGCACGGTTTCATAAATCTGAATATTTTTTGGCGTACGCCATTTTCGTCTTTTGGTCGTACGTTCACTTTTAGTATGGTTTCACGCAATCCTTTATAAATCTGACCCCTGGAGTTTTTCCGTCAAAGAAAACTGAACTCCTCCCATCTTTAAGTCTATGTCCAAATTCAGGGGCTGCGTCCTGTGAAGGACCCGGCCGACATGGACCAGGTCTTATGTCGACCGCGAACACTGAAAGAAAGTGGCAGTGAATTTGGACAAAAAATAACTTAGTTTTGGGCTGCAATTGGGAAGACTTTCGAATTTGGACAGCCTGTATTGCTTTGCTGTGATGTAATCGGCCTTCAAATTCGGCCTTCGAAGGAGTACCATGGTAGATCCTGGTGGAACACAACTCTGATCTCTTAATACAGAAAAATGAATTGATTAAAGAGTGTAAATTGGGAAGTATTGGAGGATTGAAGGATTGACTCAATCTGAAGGATCAGTTTGTTATAATAAATAAATGTTTGTTTGTTTCCCTTTCGCTCTGTTGCAAAAGACTAAAGGATCTTATCTTGTAGGTGGTGGGTTACAAACTGTACTGAATAATCACTCTTTTACAGGAAAATTCCAGCTTTCAACCCAGGCCCTGTTTTCAAAACATTTTATTTTTTGATGATGACTAAAAAATATTTGGAATCTGTTCAGGTTTCAGAAAGAGTCACTGAAACATGAAACAGTGTTATCTTGTAGAGCAATGGTCAGCACGCTTGTTTTTGTCCTGACTGAAGGTAAACACTAAAAGGAGCCACCGTCCAAGATCGTGTTTTGTAACTTTGCAGGCTTGTGTGCTGGAGTGAGGCTGTGGATGTCCATTTATGTGATGTTGTAATGTCAGGTCAAAGGAAATTGTAGGTTCCTCTATAGATAACCAGATTATTATTTACCATGAAGGAAGTTGAGAGTTGAGTCAGTCCTGTCTTTGTTTTAGTAGAGTTTTTTTTTTTAGGAAGTGAGGCATCATTTAACTGTTTATTACAACTTCAAATTTGTTAGCTGAGATGACTCAGAGGTAGATATTCGTCTGTGTCACAGTTTTTCTCCTGTAGTTTGCAATATGACAGGAACATTTTCTTTTTATTTTTTATTGTGTTTTCTTAACTTAAACCTTTTCTATCGAAACTGGAAGCATGCATACGTTAAGGGTTTTTATGGCAAGTCAACGCCACAGTTCAGTACATTTATTGTTGTGAAGTTGAGGTTCATTACCAGTTTGGTGCAGCAACTACTATTTTTATTTTACAAACTATAGCCCAGAAGAACAACAATAAACATTCAAAATAAAAGCAACACATACCTGTAAAACATCTCCCAATTTGAAAAGAATAAAACGGCTAAATTAAATTATAAAATGTAAAAGACTAAAACTTCTCAGTGAGCTTGAGTCCTTGTATTATTCAGTAACYCTGATATACTAAAGACAAACCAATATTTGAAAGCTTCACTTATGATACAACTGTTGGTCATACATACACCTCTTTTTACAAATATACCTCCTAATCACATATGATTGGTGTATTCATCATCAATATACTGTACATGTCTTAAATGTCTGTTACAATATAAATACACATGCCATTAAACCCTTAGTAAACATGTAAACACTTTTCTTTTGGCTTAAAGTAGTTTTGTAAATTTAAATACTTTTTTAAAAACTTTACATCACCATCAGTTGCACTGCTCATCGTTATTGATGTAGAGTGTTATGGTTCAATGCAAGTCCAAATTGTGACAGCAGCAGCCAGCTGTAGCACTTCTGGGGCACTTCCTGTTGGAATGACATTTACGGTTTCATTACTTTGCTCCTTTTTTGTATATGAGAAATGATGTTCCGTAGAACAGGTATGAAATAGCTCTTTTTATTCCTTTTTTTCTCTCAGCCAATCAGATCTTGGTGCAACAAACTCAAAACTTCCCTCTCTCTTCGTCATATTGCCTTGTAAAAGTTGTACCTTAGTTCTGTGGTCACTGGAAATGGGTCAAAATAAAGATCTTAATTTGTTTGTGTAGAGTACAAATACTGTTATTTGGTGCCATTCAGACAAGTGGAATATACTGCAGCAGCATTCTCTGGAAGAAAAAAACAAGCATAAATGTAAAAATAAAAGCTTGTACTTCTATATTTGCTTATCTGGATAGAAAACAAAAAGGCCTGCAAGCTGTAGGACTTCCCTTTAGGCTTTTTTATTAGCACCCGGCACAAATAAAGGTGCCAGTAGATGAGCCTAAGGGGAAGTCCTGCAGTGTGCAAGCCTGCCTCTGTTTTTGCCAAATGGTTATTTGCATTGTGGCAGAGCACCTGCCATCAGTTTGAACGTGAGTGAGAGTTTTATTTAAAAAGTTTTGTTGCAGTATTTTTTAATAAAAGTCAGACTGGTTTCTTTGAAGTTGTAAATCAGCTGATTCTAAAGATTCTAGTTCCTATAAAAACGCAAAGATAACTATTACTGGCCAGGTTTTCCAAGCAGTGGAATTTTCCTTTAAGAGCCTGCATGTAGAATTGGGGTGTGTGTGTGTGTGTGTGTGTGTGTGTGTGTGTGTGTGTGTGTGTGTGTGTGTGTGTGTGTGTGTGTGT